CGACAAAGATTTCACTGACCCACAGTGAAATGAGAAAAATTTAGGGGAATTTTATAATTGTTCAATGTAAGTAAATGATTGAACATTTTTCTTAGATTATTATATCCTTCAAAACTCCTGAATGCTAAAAAATATTTCTTTCTAATGGAATGTACGTGTCTATTGAGAAAACAAGTTTAGTTCTTCCTTACCCTCTGCCCCTTGCTTACTGTATTTTCTGGCGTATAAAACGACTTTTGAAACGAAAAAAAGTCAACCGAAAATCGGGGGCAAAAGACCAAAATTGCACAAAAATTACCTGCAGATCTTGATGGCAAAGTAAGTCTTTTCTTTGAAGTGAGGGGTAGTCTTATACAGCAAATATAGGCCTAAACCTATGTTTTAACTGTAAAATTAGGGGGTCGTCTTATACGCTGGAAAATATGGTACATCCCTAATTGTAATTCCTACAATATCCCCTCTCCATTAAAAAACAAACAGGGGGGAGGAGGAGAAGGAAAAAATGAACCAAAGAACTTATATGCATTTATGTATAACTCATGGACATAGACAATAAGATGGTGAAGGCCTGGGGAGGGTGGGAACCAGGTGGTGGGGGAAAGGGAGAAAAAGAAGGGGGGACATCTGTAGTACTCTCAACAATAAAAATATTTAAAAACACACATAAACAAATACCAAAACCAAAACAGTGTGTCCTGACATCTAAAGAGTTGGGAATCACTTGCTATTATAGTAGCAAACATTTCCTTCATAGAATTATTTCAGAGTAGTAAATATTCCATTTTTTATTAGTAGGTTGAATGGTGTTTATGCCCTTCAGCTTCTCATGGAACAATAATTCTGTTACAGATTGAAAAAAAAAAAAACACACAACCTGCTCCATATTTTTAAGAAAGGCACTGAATTCAGAATTCAAGACTATTGTTTTTTGCAAATATCCTACTTTGCTCTTTAAATTTTTATTATTCAATTACAGTTTATATTCAATTTTATTTTATATTAGTTTCCAGGGTACAGCATAGTGGTTAGACAATTACTTAATTTACAAAGTGATCCCCCCTGATAATTCAAGTACCCACCTTTGCTTTTTTCCCCATTATTTTTTAAATTAAGATATTATATGTGTACATATCTTTGCTTTTTAATGTAGCCTTCTCTATTGGTGGTGGATTTGGAAAACTCTATGAGAGTAAGAAGTTTAGTTCTGGAAATGCTGATGGCTCTTGGATCAAATGGATTGGGAACTCCTCTAGGCTAGAACGTCCGTGACTTTTCACATGTGCGCACTCACAGACACACACCACTTTCCAGCATGAGTCAATGAAAGCCTCACCTGGGAGTGAGTCACACAACAGATATTCCTGAAGTCTGATCAACGCTCTTGTTGCTTAGCAGCTGCAGCCCTTTCAGAACAGTACAGTACAAGGTCACTCGAAACAGTTTCATTATTCTAGTGAGGAAGCCTGCACTACAGATAACTGATGCCGGCAGAATTCTATTTACAACGATTGATTCTCAGAATCAATAAAATAAAAACAAAAGGAAAATTAGTTCACCTACGGTATTAACCATAGTAATTACTGGAACATATTCAGAGAGAGTTCAATATTTTTATGAGATCATTTTTATAAGTTTCATCTTTTGTTGAGATGTACTGGTATAACTAAATGAAATTAGTATTTTTCTACTGGACTTCCATAAATCATGAAGAGTCTCAGGAACTTTGTAAAGCTTATATAAGTAATAAAAATATAAGAAGAGAGTAAGTACTTACTTAGGTGGAACAAATAATAGAAATGAATGAGTTTTTAAAAAACCAAATGTGCCCTAATCGGTTTGGCTCAGTGGATAGAGCTTCGGCCTGTGGACTCAAGGGTCCCAGGTTCGATTATGGTCAAGGGCATGTATACCTTGGTTGTGGGCACATCCCCAGTGGGGGGTGTACAGGAGGCAGCTGATAGATGTTTCTCTCTCATCGGCGTTATTAACTCTCTCTCTCTCTTCCTCTCTGTAAAAAGATCAATAAAATATATTAAACCAAAAACCAAATGCATTTTAAAATCAACTACATTATTTTAAAATTAGGTTGTGATAATATTAAAAACATATTAAAATGATTGATGTTGAAAAACAATTTATCTAAAAAGAAAAACAGAGAAGTAAAGATCTCTTAGATTAAAACATTGACTAACATAAAGATGTGAATCTTTTCAAAGTAATCTATAGTTTTAATGCCCTTCCAATAAAAATTATGTCATATTATGACAGAGTTTTAAAAATTGACCTGGAAGAATAAACTGGAAATAGCAGCCAAGATAATATTCTAAAATAGTAAAGAAGGAGGACTTTCTGTGCTTGGGTATTGTCTTTTAAAGAGCACACAATGATCAAGAGTGTGATACTGGTGTAGAATGTGAAAAGCAAATTTAGAACTAATTTCTGGTGTAAATGACCTCATTATACCAGTAAATGATCCAGTATACCTAGGTTCAACCAACTGTGCATCAAAAATACTTGGGGAAAAAAAGTTATGTGTTGCTAACATGTACTATATAGCTAGGTCTATTATGGTTGGGTCTGTACTGAACATGTACCAATATTTTTCTTGTAATTATTCCCTAAACCAGTGGTTCTCAACCTTTCTAATGCTGCAACCCATTAATACAGTTCCTCATGTTGTGGTGACCCCCAACCATAAAATTAGGCTCTATAGCAGTGTCTCTCAACCCACAGGTTGAGAACCGCTAGCAGGGTCGCCTAAGACCATCGTAAAACACAGATATTTACATTATGATTCATTAACAGTAGCAAAATTACAGTTATGAAGTAGCAATAAAAATAATTTTATGGTTGGGCGTCACCACAACATGAGGAACTATTAATATATTAAAGGGCCAAGGCATTAGACAGGTTGAGAACCACTGCCCTAAACAATACAGTGTAACAACTGTCTTAGTATTATAAGTATGATAATCTAAAGATAAAGCTTATGAAAGGATGTGTGTAGCTTATATGCTAATCCTATGTAACTTTACATAAGAGATTCCAAAGACAACTGACTGTATAAAAAGCAGCGTTAGAAGTAGAGGGGAAAGGTGGAGTATTTAATAAATAATAGGGTAATAATTGATAAACTATTTGGAAAAAAATTTTAGGCTTTCACTTATACTTCTCACTAAAATAAGTTCCAGATAGGTTAAAACCTTAAAATGAAATAAACAATAAAGTCTTTCTCTCCCCTTACCTGTTCAACTTCCCTTCAGAGTACTTATCACAAGTGACACATTTAGTTGGCTATTGACTCTTCTTTCTTTACTAGGCAATGAGCTCAAAAGAGCCAAAGCTTTCTCTTTCTGCCTACTGATTTGTCCTCAGCACCTAGAATAATCTGACACAGAGGAGCATTTAACAAATACTTGTGATTGGGTGAGTAAAGCAATGAAAGGGGACCCAGGGGAGAAAAAGTGCCCTTTTAAACTGAACACAGGTGATAGCTACAACAACAGCGATAACAAAACCAGCCCCAGAACAAAAACACCCAGGAATCATCTCTGCCCATTCCACCATCTGAGCCAGGCCAGCTCAGCCTGGGACATGGGCTTCGGAGTGAAATAGGGTATGCCTTTTCTTCTTCCTCTGGGTTTCAATGTTGGTGCCCTTTAGGAAACCAACGAGGGCATGATAAACAAAAGCTCAAAGGCTTCATTCAGAGTAAAATCTGAAATTTAGAGCCTCTGGATCTTTAGCATTATTTATAAGATAACTAAATATCTATACATATATAAAACCCTAATATGCAAATAGAACAGCAGGACAACTGAACAACTGGTCACTATGATGTGCATTGAACACAAAGAGGTGGGCATGGAACATGGTGGGTGTCAGCAGCTGGCAGCAGAGCATGGAACATGGCAAGCATCGGCCACGGCAGGATGGTGGAGCAGGTGAGCAGGGGTGCCAGTCACTGTCATGGTTACTGAAAAATCATTTGCTCCCATGTGCCACAGTCCCTCCTGGCACTGGCACCTGCTGCTGACACTGGCCCTGATCTCTTAGTGCTCTCAGCGGGTGTATCAGTGGCTGCTGGCCCCAATTGCCCCTGAGGGCTTCTCTACCCCCCCCCCCTGCTCCTGAGGGGTTATTGGGGCAGCAGCTGTTGCTGGTACCCACTGACAGCGCCAGCCCCGCTTGCACTTGCTGCTGATGCTGGGCCCAATCATTCCGTACTGTCAGGGGGTGCAAGCGGGGCCGGTGCCATCTGTGCATGGGAGCAGTGGCAGCAGGAGCGGAGCTGCTAGCAGACAGGGGACTAGGGGCCACAGCAGGAGGGCCTGGGCAGGGACCCGGAGGATGGGTCAAGATCTGCCCCAGTTCCCACTGCAGCCTTGCGGCCCACGGTTTCTTTCAAGGTGCACAAATTCATGCACTGGGCTCCTAGTATTTCCAATAAATATACCCTGTTTTGAATGATGAAAAATACATGTGATAAATACTTAATGCATCAACATTATTGCCATTTTCAAGATACATATATCAATTTTTGCATCTTCTTTTGTATTTTTAAAATAGGCTCCAAGCAGTTTCTTTGGGGATAAGAGAGGAAGGAACACAATTTATTTATACATTTTCCCATTATTGTTACACTCTCCTTAACATGCCATTCTATCTCACATCAAAGTAGCCACGCCCACTGTATCCTCTGTGTGCCATTGCAATGATGCTACATTTCCTAATGGAAGGGCATCGTTTGTACCTACTTCCTTCTTGTCCCTGATTTGACCTGGTTTTTTTTCCCTCTGGGCATTAAAATCCTGCGGGGTTCTAAGCACAGACAGCATGCAACACGCATCTAACTTCTTAGAGGAAGTCTCTGCATGATTCAATAAAGCACTTCCAAGACATCTGCAAGGTGCTTAAAAATGTTGCAACAGAAAATGCCATTCTCTCTTTAGGGTCATAAACTTTGATTGGAGAGCAGGAGGAAAGAAAACTTGACCTACCGAGGGTGGGATCGTATTCCCAGATGAACCGCTTGGTCAGGAATCGCACTACCAGAGCTGTGGGGGAAAAGAGCAATATTTCAAACAAATTTGCTAATTTTCTTATAGTTTTTATCCTTATAAGGAAAGAGAAATAGTCCATCTAATTATATGTGTATTATATTTCCTTGGAATATAAGCCCAATATATTTATTTATGTTCGTTCAAGTTCTTTTTAATTTTATACTGTGGCTTAAAAACTGGTGTGCCGTTTTATTGGGATTATTATGCATTAATCAACAGCTTAAATTTGTTCCTTTAGCCACAAGATTAAAAACAAACAAATAAAAAAATCATAATGTGAAAATGCTCACATGTAAAATTTTTAGCCAGACAATGAATTCAGACATGAGCATCACGATACAGGTGTCTAAGCTTTCACTATTGATAATGATTGATACAGGTGTGTTTTAAATGTGATATAATTGTTCCTGCAATGAGAAGGCCACTAGCTGGTTATTGTGTTATAAAAATATTCCAAATTAAGTATTTTATTAGCAAATCATTAAAGTTCATCAAAAGCAATGCTGCTGAAATACTAGAGACAGGGCAAGGATCTGGCACTGTGCTAGGCACTTCACTTGCATGATCTCCTCAACCCTCACTTCATCTCTAGGAGGCAGGAACTGGGATTGGTCCCATTTTTCAGATAAGAAAACTGAGATCCTGAGAGTTAACTAGTTTAATTGAGCTCACTTAGCTAGTTAGTGGCTGAGTCTGGTTTTTCACCCAAAGAGTCTCTTTCCAAGCCTGTAATTTGTTCATTATGCGAAAGGAATTTCAGGCCTAGCCCTAGGCCATCTGGATAATATTTAATTAGAAGACGGGTCAGAGAAAGAGAATTGCTGAGCTATGTGAACTCTATTGTCCTTAAAGTGTATGAAAAACATGCTGAATATTTTTATACTTGCATTTTAGCTGAAAACTGTTTTTTAAGAAAAAATTTTAGAGGGGAGTGTCATAGACCCCACAAAAATATAATAAAAGCTTTGGATTCTTTCTCGGGAAAAATATATATACAATTTGGTACATATGAGCCTTCTGAAGATGGTGGGTCTTCCTGAGATCCTATTGACTACAACTAAAGAATCAATGTCTGTCATATTTTATACTTTAAAATATATTTATTATTTGGCTATTTTTTTTTTTTTTGTGTGGAAATGCCCTGTATATAGTAGTTTAAAGATACTCCATAAAGAAATATAACTAGTTCATTGAAAGTTACTGTCAATCTTTTCTTTATCTACTAGAGGCCCAATGCATGGAATTTGTGTACTCAGAAGGGTCCTTCAGCCCAGCCAGTGCCCTCTTACAGTTTGGAAGCCCTCAGGGGATGTCTGACTGCTGGCTTAGGCCTGCTCCACTCGGAAGAGGGGGAGGTTCCCACCACCATTGCTTCACTCACCAGCCATGAGCCCGGCTTCTGCCTGAGTGACGCTCCCCCTGTGGAAGTGCAATGACCACCAGGGGACAGCTCTTCATTGAGTGTCTGCTCTCTGTTGGTCAGTGTGCATAATAGTGACTGGTCATTCCTCTGTCAGGCCAAAACCAGCTCTCTGACATCTCCTGCGGGGTCCCAGATTGCGAGAGGGCAAAGACCAGACCAAGGAACACCATTGGTGCATGATCAGGACAAGGGAGAGACGTGAGAGGTTGGCCAGCTGGGGAGGGGGCCATGGGATGGCTCCAATGCATGTCTGGCCCATCTAGCTCAGTCCCAATCGGCCAGACCCTAGCAGCAAGCTAATCTACCAGTTGAAGCATCTGTCCCCTGGTAGTCAGTGCATGTCATAGCGAATGGTTGACCAGTTGACTGTCTGCTCTCCCCCCCCCCCCGGTGGTCAAGGTACATCATAGCGAGCAGTTGAGTGGCCTTAGCATATCATCAGCATATTACACTTTGATTGGTTGAATGGCCGACCGTACGACTGGACACTTAGCACATTAGACTTTTATTATATAGGATTGCTTATGCTAAAATCAACAGAGAGATCTATACCCACTATCATTGTGTTTTATATGAGAGATCACAGTGCCCATTGCAATGAGAACCTCATAAAACAGACCACAAGCATATGTGGCTTGGCTGGAGACTAAAAGTAGCTATTTGTTTCTAATTACTGAGTGTAAGGCTGGATGTGAGCCAACATTTTTTGCAGTGCCTGAAGTAGCAGGCCACTGACCCTGCAGTACTTCCCACAGGGAGTGACTGTGGTTTTATCTTTAGTTTTCAGTCTGTCGCTCCTCACTCTCTTGAGACTAACAGTCTTTTTATTGGCATGTAAGAAGTTGTAAGCACCAGACAGATATTTTTCTGTTTTTATTTTTTTTTCCAACTAGTGAAGAAGAGTTTATTCACATGTTGTTGTTGTTTTAAAAAATGGTGTTGAATATCAAAGAGATATGTCCTTAAGAGTCTGTTGGATACATTTAAAAGAGTAAAATAAACGTCCTTATTTTAAAATGTCAATATTTAGGAGACATCAGAATCTTTACTCTCTTTGATTCATGGGGGGAAAAATAGGATATAAAGTAAAAATTGGGCACGAGGTCACATAGTTTTCCAAAATTGTTTTTAGGGACATGCAAAAAAAAAAAAAAATTAAAGACTGATTAACTAGTCCATCCTACTGCTAATTTTTTAAAAAAATTCAATTACTGGAATGACAAAATCATACAGGTTTCAAGTGTTCAACTCAACAAAACCTCATCTGCATTCCGCATTGTGTGCTCATGGCCCCAAGCACAATCTCCATCCCTATTTTCCTCCCCTTTGCCTACCTCCACCAAGGCCTTGCCCCCTTGCCTTCTGGATATCACCACACTGTTATCTGTGTATATGTGTTATCCTATATAATAAAAGGCTAATATGCAAATTGTCCCCTTGGGAATTGGACTGACCGGAAGCTCGACCACCCGCTATGATGTGCACTGAAATCCAGGGGGCAGCACGGAACAAATAAAGACACTGGCTGGCAGCCAGCAGTCGGAGGAAAGAAGGCCCCAATTGGTCCTGATCACGGGTCAGGCCTAGGGACCCTACCCATGCACGAATTTTATGCACTGGGCCTCTAGTGTGTGTGTGTGTGTGTGTGTGTGTGTGTGTGTGTGTGTGTGTGTGTATGTATGTTTATGTAGCTCAGTGGTAGAGTGCTTGCTTCCCATGTATGAAGCCTGGGTTCATTCCCCAGCATCTCTATGAGGGTCCTTTTTAAATCATCAGCAGCAATTAACATAACTGCATGCAGAAGCCAAAGAGTTTCATCTTTTGTTAGAATATGCAGTTTTAACTCTAAAGGTTACAACCTATAAAAAGGCATTTATCTGGCATCTTTAAGAAATGCACTATTAAAATTAAGATTTTTTTACGTAACATTGGAAGTACCCCAGTTTCAAGACCATTAAAAGTAATCATTTGTCAAAGAAATGCTTCTAAAATGTATTAGACACTCCATCATCTCTCAGCACTGAGAATACTGAACATAATTGAATCATTTTTAAATGTCTGGAACCTTGATTAGTGCAGCTATGTGGCAATACTTTGAGAAGCTGTAGAGTGGTTGAGGCAAAGTGACTCCAGAGTCCTAAGGCTTTGAGTATTTTTAGTTTTTTAATACATCCAAATATGTATTTTTAATATACACATAAATATAATTTTTTCCTTCCTCAAATACCATGGCTTTCTGCCAGTCACAGAGACTATGTGTAATAACCTATCTATTCATCTGCTTTGCTACTTTTATTATTCCAGAGTCTGATAAGCCATATTAACAAGCTTGTTAGGATTTTGTCTAATATTAAATTAGGGTTTCATTCTGAGGAATTTGTTTGTTGAACTGGATTCTGGAACACCTTTGGGAAAGGATGTTTGCTGTTGATAAGTGGCTCCTGCTGATGTTGGATTATTGGCTTCGTTTAGACAGCCCCTTTCCAGCAAGGCAGTGCTGCTAGGCTCAACCAACAAAATCAATGGAAACATTTTTTATATTCTTTTTAAAGAGACACACATCATTATCTGATGGTTGCTTTAACAACAGAATCATACATTTGTTTAAAAATCCAATCTATTTTGAGTGCATTAAAAAACACAGAAAGCACTTTGAAAAACACTGATGTCTTATGTTTCTTATTTGATGATGTGCAATTGTCTCTCACACAGATTATTCATGGGAAAGACAAACACGCTTTTTATTGTTAGTTTTTTAATAATCTATTAATTTAAATTACTTGTCTAAAGAATGAGGATAATTTTATCTCTGTGGACATGATATCTGTTAAAGGCTCTGCTGTTACTGAAATTGTGATTGAGGTGTGCGGGTGACATTTCATGATTTACTGATGTAATTATAAAACAGTATTTTTTGGCTCCTGATTTTATTATAATTTTATTATGGCATACAGTTTCATTGCTTTATTTTAAGAGAGAGTGGAAGGGAGGATGGGAGGGGAGAGAGAGAGAGAAATATCATATCAACTGGTTGCCTCCCCCATATGCCCCAATTGGGCTGGGATTGAACCTACACCCAGGTAGGTGTGCCCTTGATTGGGAATCGAACCTGTGACCCTTCAGTGCATAGGCCAATGCTCTAACCTCTCAGCCACACCAGCCAGGGCTATATCACACAATTTTCCTTTTGTGATATACTCTACCACTTCTCACCCCCTCCACCACTACCACTCTCATCACATGGTTTTACATGTTAAGAATAATACTGTTGCTTCCTCAGTGGTATCCCTACTTCATCTGCACCCCAAAACCCCCTTAAACTACTTTCTATACTTAAACTACTTTTTTAATGATTCAATTAAAACTTATACCAGCTCATGTCACACCTTTTCCCCAAATTCTCCCTGAACTCACCTCATTGGATTAATATTCATTGAAAACCTACTCTGTTCTGTTCTAGGTTTTTGGATTAATCCAACAAGCAAGTCAGATTAAGAACCCTGACTTTATAGAGTTTATATTCTAAGAGGATGATACATAAAAAGTAAAAGTGATAGATTACATAGTAGAT